AGTTTGCTTTTTTTTCTTCTTATAAAAATAATTATTTAGTTTTCCTGTGGTGCTCCTCGATTATCATTAGGTGATATATGTATTTGTAATTCAGAAGGTCAAGTATGTTTAGTTAATGTTCAACCTAATGTAACATTAAAAGCCTGCAATACAGTCATATCATCACGTATTAATTGTGTTGCTTATGTTCCATCACATAAAGGTCGACGAACAGGAAGTAGTATTAAACATCGTCATCATCATCATCATCAACATAAACAAAAACATGACGTCGAAGGAGAAGAAAGACAAGAACATAAACATGAAGAAATTATTCCTAAACAAGAAACAAATTCCATATTAAAAACTTTAGATGTTCAACCAACAGTTGAATCATTTTTTGATATTGATTCAAGTGATGAAGAAGATACACCAACAATAAATAATAATGATGATTTTTTTTCATTGGATCAAACATTACCATCACAACAATGTATTCTATTAGAAAGTGATTTAAATAATGAACAACAAGATACAAGAGAAGCAACAATGTGGTTAGGAACTGATGATGGAATGTAAATTAGAATTTTATCTTATTTCAATATGATATATATATAAAAAACTTCTTTTCTAGAATATTAATATTTCAATGTACAGAAACAATGAAAACAGTTGCACGTAAAAGTCGTATTGTAAAACAACTTGGTTCTCCAATTCATTCCATCTTGTATGTTTTTAATTTATGACTGTGGACATATATTTTATTTTTAAAATCAATTTAGATATACTGACAATAAAGTATTTGTTGCATTGAGTCATGGTGAATTATGTGTTTTTCGTCGAGATTTAAGTAAATATATTATATAGAATTTAAATCGAAGGAAAAAATATACATTTATTTTAGGTGGTCGTTGGGATTTAGATTGTCCAACAATTCGATCAATTGAAGAAGATTCCATTCGACATGGTAGTGGACAAAATGATAATGATGATGGAGATAATATTGATCCAATATCTGTTATGGCATTAGCTGCTGGAAAGTTATGGTGTGCTATACGAGATCGAATATTTGTTGTTTGTCCAAATTCATTAAATGTTGAAGTAAAATAAATATTCATTCTTTTCTAATCTCTCTATAAAAACAAAAATTAATTTTAGCATTCATTTGTTGTTGATGATTGCCATCGTCATATATGTAGTATAGCTACAGGTGGTTCATCAATGCATTATGTATGGATTGCATCTCAAGGTTCACATGAAATTCGTCTTTATCATGCAACACATTTTGTTTGTCTACTTGAAACAAGTATAAGAACAGCAGTTACACAAAAACTTCAAGGTTAATTGAATTTAAAAGAAAAAAAGAAATACTAATAAATCAAAGATTTTTTTTTTAATTTAGTATGTGATGATATAATTCGAGCTCATAAATTAGGTTGTTTACGTGTCAGTGCTCTTCATATTTGTAAAGAAACTTTATGGGTTGGTACAAGTGCTGGTGTACTAATAAATATTTCTGTACCACAATTAATTGATTCAGGAAATAATAAAGTAACAGCAAATTCACTTCAATTAAAAGGTTTATCATTTGGTCATGCTGGACCTGTGCGATTTATAATATCAACTGATACAACAATTCTTTCAACGTCAGAAGAAACAACAAGTGTTAAAACTGTTGTACTTAGTATTGGAGATGGTTTTGAAGATTATGCAAATAATGATGAAACATTGGGTAAAGATGATGCTCTTTCTCATGTGATAGTTTGGCAACTATGAAAGAGAATTTTTGTATGTATATAAATATATATATATAAACATTATGCTGCTGGTCAGCAATGATTTATATCTTCATCTTTTTTTTCTTTCTTTCTTTCGTTGTATTTACCTTTGTGTGTGCGTGTGTGTGTGTGTGTGTACGTTTGTGTTCAATAAAAAAAATCAACCTTAAAATAATTCTTATTGTTTTCTTTCTTTTTATTGAAAATTAAAATTTAACATTTTCCTTTAAAAATAAGTACAGCAACTTTACCAACATCAAGTATAATACGTTTTTGATTTTCGGTAGTAATTGAAAGTGCAAAATCTTTTCCGAGTATACATTGCCATGATGGAGTATGTAATTTATCGAATTCAAAACGAATATATTTCGCTAATGTTGAACGAGATTTCTCTGAATATCCATTAAATTTAATAAATGCTTGTTTAGTAATACGTACTGCATCTTGTTTCATTGATTCAGTCATGTTACTGACACGAACAATAACATTTGATTGAGAAATAGTTTCTCCATTAATAAATGTACATGTTAAACAAACGAATAATAGTACGAAGCAATAATTTTGAATCATTTTGTTGTATGAATGTAAATGATTTTTGTTCGAATAAATATACTGAGGGTTTTTTTTATCTTGATTGTTATTCTATCCGAGAATTATATTGAAGTTTTTTATCAAAATAATGAAATATTGATTTACATTTATTAATCTTTCTATCGTATCAAATGATTTAATAGAATATGTGTTATATAATGATTTATATAGTGTAAACCTTTTGATCTCAATATTTCTAAGGGGATAATTATTTGATAGCAAATATCTATCTGTTAGAATAGCATAGAGAAAAACAAAAATAAATTAGTTATACAAGAGAGATATATGAGTGAAACATTATGCTAAGAATAATCAGATAGTTAGAAAAACAGAAGAGAATAACGAAACATTAGAATGTTCTTAGAAATCTACCAAACCATCGAATACAATTAACATTAATCATTACTGTTGACTTTGATGTCTAATGATTTGACTAAATAGATTTACATATGGAATAAATCGTTTTACAATATTCGAAAAGACTATCAGAAAAGAATGTTTCTTACAGACAAAGTTGAAAAGTTGATTTTGTTATTTAACACATTATTGAATTTGAATTTCCCTTGAGTAAACAAAATTACTTAAAAGTGTTTTATTTTTTCAATGATCAATAACACAGTTAAATAAAAAAAAAACAATATTAAAAAACTTAAATTGTATTTCTTAGTATCATATTACATCCGTTTCTTTGTATAATCTAAACAACAAATTAATAGGAAAAAAACAAAAATGTTAAATGAAAATAGAAAGCAGCTAATTCAAACTGATGTATTTTTAATCAATTTTTGGTTCATGGCAGGTATTGATTATCAATATACTTGTTAATCTAACTCAAGATGAGGATTATAAATAATATCCTCTTTCTCGAAAAAGATGAATTTCTCTATATTTTTTGTGAATTCTCATAGTTTTTATCAAAACTTCGTCTTAACAACAGGATATATTTTTTAAACGTAGTTGATCTGAAATAAATTTATTCTATATAACATTGCATAAAAGGATGTCCATGTGTCATTTCGTTTTATCGGTAGAAGCTGCAGGTTTCTGACTAATTGTGCCCTTGAGTTATTTAAAAAATGATTATAGTTCTCGATATTAAACAGTTCAAAATCAGTTTCATGAATTCTCAGAGTTTCGCTTCTTAACTCATAAAATTTGTATCAGCTACCTTGTATTATAACTATTGAAATTACTTCTTCATCTTATTCTAATTTACAGTGTAAGATATGACAAATCTGATCAAAATAAGTTCTCTTTGATCTATCTATTTTCTATAGTTTTAGATTATACAGATAATTATACAAGTAACAAGAGAAATTAAAATTTGGAGTAATTTTAAATATCAACTTTATTTTATAAATGCAATTTCTTTTTTTCTCCTAATGATTCTCTATAATATATTTTAAACAATTGAATAACCGTATTTTGAACAGAAATTTAATACATTAATAGATATAGTTATAAATAGAATAATGTTTCTCTTATCGTAACTTATGTTCGAATTTGTATTGACACGTCTACAAAGACTGTGGAAGACTATTATAGAACACCAAACTATTTTCGACAGTTGATGAAACTGATTGATGATGTCAGTGGCGTTATCAACTGCATAAAAGGTAATACCACATCCCAGTAACTCATTTCTTTATACCAGTTAATAGATACTATTTTATCTTACACAATCATATCACAAAAAATAAGCATAATTTCGACAACAGGAATTCATATACTTTTCTTCTTAATACGATTCCGACAGAAATATGACATCACTAAGATATATTTAAGTAAGAAGAACTGTCATGCTTTTTTCAGTTTTTAAAACACGAAGTACACAACTTACTTCAACTGATGCTATTTTCCTACGGAATGAAAAATATGGTACGATCGTTTTCTTTTAATAAAAAAATCGAAACAATTCACAATTTCCATTTAGATAAATAGACGTCTGACAGATATCTTTATCTGATTTTGCAATACCTGTTTTATTTGCAACTAATAATAAACAATCGTATGAAGTACTATTTCATGTTAAAAGAGAAAATGTTCATTTATTTTTACCATTTGATATTATCGGTGAAATGAAGAAAAATTCTAGGTAACTGATACCGATTAAAAACGAGGTATTGATCAATCAAATTCCAAATGATATATCTGTGTTGTCCGATTTACCTCGAATTAAACAATTCAACAAAAAACTCTCCGAAATAATTAAAAAATCGATTGATCATATTAAGGATATGGGTGAGAGAAACAAATCAACTTCTTTGCTCGTCTTGCTCATGTATTTACTAGGTGATCTGAAAATACAATTACTAAACTGATTCTAAGAATAGTATGTCTTTTTTTGGCATTTTTTACGCTTCTTGATTCATAAATTAGAACTTAAATAAATCTCGATCAATAATACAGAAGATGAAAACACTTAATTTTTTACTCAATATAAGCATTCACCAAGACCAAAAACAAACCAGAAATGCTTGAGATGGTTGTTCTCGGTGACTCGTCTGGCTCTCCAAGTCAAAATGCGCGTTGTAGTGTACAAAGTGTTTATTTATATATAAAGAAAAAGAATTAAAAAAAAATAGAATCAATGTAGATATATAAGTTTGATAAGAATTGTTTTCAAAAGTTTTGTGTCAATGACATTTGAAATTATTTTTCAAAAAGATCATATGAAGGCCATGTATCCACAGCATCAACGATCGCATCCAGTACCGCTTTACATTTAAATGCAAAGCTATCATCGGTGGGTCTAATGTTTACTGTAAATGCATACGATATGCCATTATTTCTTCTTACCAAGAACGCAATTGTTCCTGACATGGCACCATTATGTCCTCTGTATGTACTATCCAAAATCCATCCTTTACCATATCCAGAATTTGCCGAAGAACCTGTCCACATTGTAGTGATTGTGTTACTGTTTAAAATGTCTGGTTTAATATTAGATTGGTCCGTTCTAGTCAAAATACATACAAGATCCATGGGTCGTGCAATCCATCCACCATGAGCGTCCATACGTCGAAGAAGAAGATTGTACGCACTACTTGGATAATATGTCACTTCGTTCGGTTTTTTATCAGCGATGGAGTCTCCTCCAATTAACATCTTACTAGTTTGTGAAACATTATTAAAAATTTGATTGCGAAGAAAGAGTTCATAAGTTTGTCCGGAGCTCTTTTCGATAATTCGTCCAAGCAGAGTATATCCAAAATTAAGATATTCGTATGTAGTTCCAGGTACATTCTTTGGAGTTCGATTATCGAGAACCCAACTGATCAAGTCTTTCTGACTGAGATCAGTATTCATAAACATTGGATCACCACCATCATTTGAAAATCCACTGGTATGTTCAAGAAGATGTTTAACTGTGATATTTAAAACGCGTTGACCATAAGGTTTACTTCCATATATTGTTTCAAGAAGGCCAGATGAACCAAATACCTTCGAATTAAGTGAAAATTTTCCTTGTTCGATAAGTTTCATAATGGCAATAGCAGTCATAGATTTAGATACACTAGCAATTCGAAACAGATGATTAGGATGAACTTCCTCACTAGTTGCCTTATCAGCATATCCAAAACCCTTCGCAAAAACAAGACGCTCTTGGTAGGTAATTGCAATAGATAAACCTGGAGTTGAATTCTTGCTCATATAATCTTGAATCTGGCTGTCAATGAACGAGAGATCTTTTCCTTTCATGTTAGGATTTTCCCAAATGGCAGCATAGAGATCAGTGTTACCTTTCGCATAACCACAGATAACTTTGAGACGATAACCTTGATAGTGATTATTTGTAAACTCTCCTTGATATGTTTTACTACTCATCGCATGACGAGCTACCCATAGATAACTTGCTTTTTTCTCGAAAATAGCAGCATAATAGTCGATACCATTGACGAAGTAGCCAGAAACTAGAACAAGAACGAAACCTGCTTTCGTTTGAGCATTAAATTCAGCTTGATACTGGTTAGCAGTAAGTCCATGTCGTGCAGACCAGGTAGGACTATTAGTAACTTTTTCAAAAATGGCAGCATAACGTGCTGAATTTTTGTAAGCATATCCACTAACGTGTGTTAGTCTGAATCCTTTTCCAGTCCAGTCATTGAATTCTTTTTGATATTGTTCAGTAGTCATTCCATGTCGAGCTACCAAAGAAGGTGCACTGCCAGCTGGTTTCTCCCAGATAGCCACATATTTATCGTCGCCGTTGGAGTCCGTATATCCATTAACAAGAACTAGATTGTATTTTTTTGTAGTTGCATCATCAAATGCCTGTTGATACTGGCTACTGTTCATTCCATGACGACAAATTTGTGATGGTCCACTTGATTTTTCAAAATAGGCCGCAAAACGTTCTTCATTGCTGACAGTATAACCACTGATGTAAAGAAGTCGATAGTATTGTTGAGTAAGACTACTAAACAGATCTTGATATTGACTTGAAGTTAAACTATGTCTAGCAACGAATGGTGGATTGTCAGCAGCCATAGATTTATTGATAACAAACATCAGCAAGCATAAAGAGACAGTCCACCATGGACAGAATTTATGAATAATCATTTGATTTGATCGTAGAAAGTGAACTAAATATATGAATAAAGAAAAAATATAGTTTATTTCATATATAATCGATAAAATTATACTGCAGATTACATTGATGTTAATTTATATCGATTTAAAATATAAAATGAAACGATTACTTACTTTATTTGTAGCGTTTTTACCGGATGGTTTTTGATAAGGTTTTAAAGCAAAACCCGTATTATTTATACTATAATGGTTTAAGAGAAATACGTCATTGGATAAATGACGTTTTTGTATAATAAGTCATACTTCGTTAATCGTTTGATCGCAAATAGTGATCATGCTTCGATTCTTTGACGTCATTGCATGAATATATGTTTCTATATTTGTCGTAATGAATGGCGCATAAAATATGAGTCAAAATAATATATTGTACCTGACTTTTTTTGACTCTATAATATAGAGTCTATATTACTCTTTCTCTTTGTTTTTTTATCTTCGAGTATGTAGGTTGTTTTACACGGATATTTTAGTTTTATATAAAATGAAGCGTTTTTTCGAATTTATTCAAGATGTTTCATAACAATTTCTCCTTAGCCTTATTCTTCATCATCCAATTACTTACTATTCCAACTGAATTATTCAGCATCATTAATGGTTTTTAAAAAAAAGCCTTTTGGCTCTTGAAAATTTAGATTTATCAAATATTTTGCTCATGAAGTTACCGTTAAAACTGTACAAAAGGTTAATCTATATACCAAAATAAAATTTATTAAGAAAATATTTATATAATCATGAAAAACCAATCAAACTCTCGACATTTTAATATTCCATAAATAGGATTCTGGAATTTAGAGTGTGCTGAAATTTTTAGTTGATTTAATTTGCAGGAACAGATACACGATTTATTGTCGGATTCACTCGATTCACATCAATGTTGCATTGATGCATTAGTGAATAACAAAATAGTGTCATAAAATCATGACAAAACTAACGTGATGTTAATATATATAAATAAAATAATATAGCAAGAAATAAAAGTAATCTCCTGTCAGTCGAAGAACTAATGAATTGTTCGATTGCTAAACGACCTGTTGCAACAGTATAAAAATATACAACCATCCAAGATGTTTGAGTAGCAAGAAAGACAATTGCGTGAAGTAAAAGCATCACGAAAGCTTGTTGATCACGTTTTCGTTGATTCTGTTCATTGCTGACTTGGTTATTGACATCTAGTTGACGATGACGTTGACGTTTAAGACGAAGATTCCGATTAATAAGTATGGCACAAATAATCATAATAGTAGCTGGAAGAAGACTTTCAGTTGTTATTGTTTAACTACTATAAATAAATGATGTGATAATATCTTGAGTGTATGGGTATGGGTATTTTATTTCAACCAAACCCACTCCATACCCACCCTTTTATCCGATATAACTCTGTCTGAAATCTGTTAATTAGAGATTCAATATGTGATTCGATACTTTTATTACGGTCATTTATCTGTGATATTGATGTATGCAATGTCTTTTTTACACAAAGATTTCTTCTATCCTCATTGTATATAAACATTTCTTCATATGAAGCATTGTGTTAAGTGAAATGAGTATATATGGTCAATAGAATGTCCATTGTTCATACATATGATGATAACAAAAAGAAAATATTTTAACAATAATGAAACTATTCTATCTATTTAGATCTTATTTGTTACATTCACTATTCAACTTCCGCTTAGTTACCAATACTAGCGTGCACTTTAACTATTGTTTTATTTTATTATATCTTGATTAACCTTTATATGTTTTGAAATGATTATACGACGAAGGTGTTTAGTTTTGTTGACGAGTACATGCTTCACAAATGTTAAATTTTTCATGAACTTTTTAAGCAATCATTCGTATAATTATACCCTCAAGTAAATCACCTAATGGTACAAAAACATGCCATTCTTGATCCAATTTATTGTGTAAGAAAATATTTCTCTATAAATCCATTCCAGGTGAAAGAAGAGAACGATCATCATCGATTTGATCAAAATTAATTGTTCCTAATTGACGCATAACTAAAGTATGTGTACGTTCCAAAATTGAATTAATTTATGTGTCATTACTTGTCAATTCACTGCAAATATAGTTGGATTGTCACCATAGTATTGATCGAATATTGAGGATTAATTGTAAGTGAACAGAAAATACATACTTTATACAAAAGCGGATCATACATTTCTCGAAAATATTCACCGAATTATCGAGATACAGTGGTTAGGATAAATTCTAAAAGACGTAATACATCGTATGTATTACATAAGATAAGATAACATGTAGGAAAATTAAGGAAAAATCCAAACATATGTGCCATGCTAAAAAAAAACAATAAAACAGAACAAAAGAAAAATACATATATGAGGAGTACAATCAGTGAATATTATAGTTACATTCTTCTGAAATGATCTTCGATACGACATATATATGCATGCGGTTAGTAGAGCTAATACAGACTAAATAGAGTTGCCCAACTATGTATATGTGTGTGTATACACGATAACAAAAAAAAAGACAACTGAACAGAAATAAAACAACTTGTTCAGTTTTTTAGTTTTACCGTATTTAACACGTAAGAAATACTGGACGTACTTTATACACAATAGATTTATCTAACTACTATAAGAGTTAAATGCTTTCATAGAATTCAAAGAGTTCATTGGCAAGGTATTCTTCTAACCATCATACGACATTCAAACTATCATTATATTAGCTTCAACCCCGATTACTATAAGAATGAAAGATAGGATAATAGTAAAATTCTTATTAAAGGTTACAATCGTATTTTAAATCTGTTTAAAATGCATTTATTTATCGATCAAATAATGATGATATTGGTCGTTTAAATGGAAGGAAAAGCAGTTGAACAAAACTTTGACAACTATCATGGATTAATTCTCAAACACGTTTTATTACAATTTAATTAACATTTTTAATTGAACTTTTTTCAACAAGTGGAGTTTTTTGTCAATATCAGTTTAAACCTATTGGTATATATAATAAATATCAAAATCATTCATTAATAATCTATAGAATTGCTGGAATTATTTATATGTTATTTATTGATTCAATTGAAGAAAACCTATTTTTATTCCGTATGGTCATTTATTCAATGGAGTAATATAATATGTTCTTGGATAGGTGTTAGGTTTTATATTTGGCGTTTTCATTTAAGTAAATTATTCCATAAAATAAATGGCTATTAATATATAAATCTTCAATTAACAATATTTATTAATGAAATTTTAATGTTTTCTCAGTAAAATTAAATATGCTTATTTCTTTCGTTTTAATTCTCGTTTATCTCAATTTGCAAAAAAAAAACTTTTTTATTTTTCATGGATATTTATAATTGTTTTTGATTCATTTATTTATTATTTAATTCAAAAATTTTTATCTTGTTCCAATATATTTCGTACAACTGAAATGTTATTAATAAAATTCAATTGTCAAGGTTTATATCAAGCTAATAAATATCTTGATCCATTAGCATTCATATTATTTATATATTTTGTAGTTTTCATTTGTTGTGGAATGATGATTTCAATAATTAATAATGGTTTTCGTCATATTCAATGTATTAATAAATCAAGACTAAATGAAAATACGGATATTTTTTATTTTTATATGAGAAAATAAAACATTTATTATTGATGTTAATTCAATTTGAGTAACCTTTATTTTTTCGATTAAATTCATATTTTTTTAAAATTTTTGTTCACAATAAATTCATTAAAGACATCGCGATCATTGAGAACTTGTACAAATGTTGATCTTATTGCTGAAGATATAGATTAATTTACGTATATTGTATTAAATGACAAAACAAGTATATCATTTTGTATAAAGCTTCTTTTGTTCGATAATCTGATTTGATGTTGTATATGTATGTCTTAATATAAATAAATATTATTTTATGCTTGATTGTCTATCTTCAGATCACTACGCACTACTTAAAAAATTGGAAAATATTTTTTCTTAATTTAAACTCATTCGATACATTACCGTTTTGGAGATAGGAGCTTTGAATGAATGTGACGAAACTCGTATAGGTGATGCATATGTCACCATCAACTTTTAGAAACTTTTATTTTTTATCAAAGTGGAGAATTATCATTAAAATCTTTCTTAATCTTACTAATTATGAATAGCAACTCGATATGCAAGTATTATTGAATAAAGTTCATTTTAACAGAATATATATTATATAAAAAAGAAAAGATTAATGCAAGACTATCGTATATATTAATTTATAGAAAAAGAATAAAAAAATGTAATATAATTTTTAAGAAAAATAAATAGTTTATGAAGATTTCTTCTTTGGTTTTGATGGACGCAATATTTTTCGTAGAATTAAAATCGTCCAATAAATATTAAGTACTCTTGTTAATAAACATAAACTTCCTTGCATTAATCCAAAAGTTACACTTGTTAAATCACCTGCATTAAATGCCATTTGAAAAAAAGCGGGTGCAGCACCAAAAGCATATCCACATACAATCGATCCATAAACAAGACGACTTACTAGAAAAGTAAAGATAAATAAATATCCAAAAATAGCATATAAACGAGGACGATGATGATATAATGCTTTTAAATTTAATGGAATTGTTGATAATTCTTCAGCAAGTAGATAAAAATGACACGGATGACAAATTCCATTTATTGCACCTATACAATATATTACGTAAAAATAAACGTATAAAATTTAAATTAAAAAAAAAGATCTAACCAGCATAAAATGCTAGAAGAATTATAATATGATGTGCTAATGCTGCTGTTGTTCTTACTGATTTATAAAATAACATTAATAATAGATCATATGTAAAATAACCTAATGAATAACATATACTATAAGTCATAATTTCATCACCGGTTCCATAAACTCCTCCGCCAGCTATTCGATTAACTTGTTTTAAATTAACTGAATAACGTGCAAAAAAATTTATAACACTACCAACACATATAATTGCATGAATTGATGAAATAACATAACTTTTAAGTAATGGTGTTAATTTTGATGGTAATAAATAAAAAATTAAACTATTTACAACTATTGATAGAAATATGATTGTATATTTTGGTACATCCGGTGAAGGTGTATTGCCAAGATCTATATTATTTACATATGTATATGTACATTGATAAAGTAAAATACAAAACTTACATTCAAAACGTGCATGATCATCAAGCGTCATTGATAGTAATGATGAAAAACAAAAGAGTATGGTGCGGTATACATGTGTCCTCACGGTCTACTAGTGTTGAGAACAGAACGAGAGAAAAACGGTGTATCATTATAAATTATTTTTTTCATGTACATCCTATATAGAAAATGACACATGTAGTGTACCATATCGATGAAGAAAAAAAAATGAATTGAATGAATTCTTCGCTTAATATTTTCGTATGATGATATGGATATAAAATATCACATAACAAAACAATTCTCAGTATAATCTAATTGTCCATGTATTAAACTTATGAAAGAAGAAGAAGAAGAAAAAAAGTTAGATTTTAAATAGAAAATAAATATATATTTTTCTTATTGATTTATTAATCATCAACGATGAGTCATTGTCAAGTTTGTTTTATTGTTAAGAGCTATTTTTTATGATATAATATATTCTCTCCATATGAATAATAAATTAATTATCGATTTATTTAATGCATTCACTGTACTTGATTCTTTGTAAATCTATACCAACTGTAGTAATATTATTCAATACTTTATGATATATTTCTCGTCAATAATAATTTTTAATTTTCGATATCGTTAAATCAAAAATTAATTCTGTTGTCTATGTAATAACAGATACCAAAATTTAAAATATATAAACTAATAGTTAATAAACGATCAATAGCTGTTTTTTGCATGAAAATTTGTATAGTAATCAAAAATTATACCAATAGAGTATCAGATATTTTTAATAATTCGAGAAATAATTAATTCATCTATTAATGTTTTATAATGCTTACGTTTTAATAGCTAAATTAAGCAAGTAGCATATATACTAACAATTAATATAGTTATTAGAAATTTATATCAAAATATTTTTTAATATGATGGTGTGGATGTGAATATGAGATTGATTTCATCAAACACACATATCCTTGAGATGGTTCTTCGAATTTATCATTATATTTGGGTCTATAAAACTCTTATTCTTGTATGGTGAAAATATATATTTTTTATAACCTTTCTAATTACCAGTGTTTGTTCAACTATAAATTTGAATAAAAACTTAAATAAGGAAATTCATTTTGATTGATATTTATTTTGCTCATTTCATAACAATCATTTGTTCAAGTTATGTATTCTTATGTATAATTTTAGTCACTTTTAACTGACATAAAAATGTATATCTACCATTCAAATCTTCTTGATAAAGTATATCGTTACTAAACTATATATTATATATTTCACAGATATTCTGCAACAAAATTCGTTGTTATTAATTCTTTTGTTTCATTAATATATCATTTTCATCGTGCAAAAACGATATCTTTGAAACTAATGTTTAGTCATCTAAAGAATGACGTCATAGAAAAGTAATTACATTTTGCAAGCCACTTAAAGGTATTTGTCTTTTCTTCTTTTTAAGCAAACTTTTTCTCAATAAGTATAAACTACCTACAATATCGATGAAGCACATGTTTTTCATATTTATTCACATACTCATTTATTGTTCTTCTCGATCGAATATTTTTTATGATGGCTTTTTATGCATCATCAATTTCTTTTTCTCATATCGTCTTTTGTTTTGATATGATGACAGATTATCGATAATGAATGTTTTTCTCTTGTGTGTACAGATTTGAATAAGCTGGTTTACACTATTTTTTCGATTACTCTCGATAACTGACGTTCGATTCGCTGTATTTTAATAAATCTTCACTTGTTATTTTTCTTTTTTTTTATCCATTTCTTTATGAAAAAAGAATTAGTCGATACTAAGTTCTTCACGAATAGAACCGTTTCGCACTTTGCATCTTTAGTTTTCTATGAGTATTTATTTACATTTCACTTTTATTACGCAGTCGATTTGAAAGAATAAAATTAGAAAAAAAATTGTCGGATTGATGTCAGAATCATTTAAACTTGTTTCTGTTTCCATAAACTAATATTTTGAATTCACACATATAGTTTCTCATTTGCTATAAACAAAAAAAAATTAACATATAGCATCCAAATTCCTTTTTGTGATACTAGCCAAGTATTAAGAGAAATTTGTGTGTTCTACAATAGTAAACATCGAGCGACTGTTGCTTGAAAGTACTGTAGTTTTTGACGAGAATTTTGAACAAAAAAAAGAGAATATACAAGTAGAATAAAACTTGTGATAAGTCTTTATTCTTTTTCTTTTAGAAATAATTGTATAATCTAAATATATTTCGCGACGTGTAACAGCGGCAACTAATATCGATGATGCACAATCGTTTTATAAACAGTACTTTGTCTGAACTTAAAGAAACAAATCAGAGTCCAATATACGGTTATCAACATTTACCTCTCCTGACATTAGAAGAATCTATAAAAAAACTTGATCCATTGGTTGGTATTCTTGACACGGATGTATCGACAGCTAAAAAGGAATGCGATCAAAGTTCACCTTTATTGACAAAAGATGAATCAGCAGCAATATATCTTTACTCGATGTCAAAATCTTTATGTCCTCGTCTTAACGAAGCTCTTCGAGCTGAAAATCGCTCTAATCTAAAACCATGGTTTTTCTACTTGAAACTGCTTATCACTGCTCTCGAAAAATTACCATCAATCACAAAAACTATTTGGCGAGGCATTCCAGTTGATGCTCGTTCAGTACTCTATGAGGATGACATACAAATTTGGTGGAGTGTCAACTCATGTTCAATGGATTCTAGCATTGTCCGACGATTTTTAGATGAAAAAGGCACTCTATTCATTATTAAAGCAATTAATGGCAAGGATATATCCATGTTTTCAGCTTTTCCAGTTGAGAACGAAATTGTTCTTATGCCTGGAACTCGTTTACGGGTTATATCTAGCTCGTTCAATTACGATGACCGTCTTTTCATAATACTTTTAGAAGAAACAGATCCTCAAAAGTAAGCCGTTTGATAGATGACCTACAATCTTGCAAGCTATTTCATTAGTGTTTAGTGCTTGAATATAATAGTTAGATGAGTTTTCTTAATTGATCTCTAAATATTATACATTAATGAGTGACCCTAAAAGAAATGCATACTTATATGTGCCCAAACTTACGAACAAAAAGAAGGGAACAATTAAAATTTGTAATTTTCAGTGAAAGAATAAGGAAAACTATCTCCAAACAAAAATACTGAGTTCTTTAAACAGTCTCAATGTTGGGCGACGATTTGGTAGCATGTTCTATACATGAGAACCAACTATTTTAGTTACTACATCGAAAAATACATAGATAATCGATATTAGTTGAGTGTGTATTGTAATAAGTTTGAAAATAGTTGAATCTAAATAATTCTTCATACTTTTTCAAGAGACTCAGAGTGCTTGAAATAATTCTCAGAATATCTTTCTATAGCTACAACAACAGATGGTTTGTTTTTTGAATAATTCTTCGTTTTTTTTAGTGAATCTCAATCTAAACCGAGATATCTGTCTGAATTGATGAAGTTAAAATATCAACAACACAGTCGTATTGAACTGATCATGAATCCATCTAAGTCTTTTCCAATACAACAAAGCTACATTAATTTAGCTATTGTAGAAACCAAAGACCAAAAAGAGAAAGAAAAGAAACTTCTCAATACTAAACACAGCAATGATGAGATAATCGGTACTTTTGAGGAAATTTACGGCACAAAGACCCCAGTAGAGATAAAAGATATTTTCAAAACATGCAAAGATCAAACAAAAAGACTCCTCGTATTTGGACGAGCAGGCATAGGAAAAACAACATTTTGTCAGTATGTTGCACATCAGTGGGGAATAGGAGCAATTTGGCAACAATATCAGTTAGTTGTATTTATTCGTCTACGTAATTTAACCGAATGGCGATATCCTCCTCTGGCATCAGGTGCCAGATATTCTTTGGTTGATATTGTAAAAACAGAATATTTTCATCATGATCTGACTGACAAATATGAAACACTTCTAAAAGAAGAATTAAATAACAGCCAAATTCTCTGGCTTTTGGATGGATATGATGAAATTTTTCAAAATATACCATTGCATCTAAAATATCTACTAGAGCAATTACTCAAAACTCCGCATCATATTTTAACGTCTCGTCCATATTTGAATACATTGCCATATGATGTGCAAATGGAAATTACAGGCTTTACAGATGATAATATTACCAAATATGTGCAACGGTTTTTTGATCGAACTGAAGGTGAAATGCACAATGCACCGATTCAAACCGAAAACTTACTGAACTTTTTACGATGTAATGTAAGAATCTGGGGTATCGCTCACATTCCGGTAACTCTCGAATTGATTTGTAGTCTTTGGTGTGATACTGATTGGTCGGAAACAACAACATTGACAATAACAGCTGTCTATGATAAAATGATCGAATGGATATGTCGACGACATTTAGAAAAACAAAACATTTCCTCAAATCAAATGACAAAAGAAGATGTTTATCAACATTTATATAAAGAATTGACATTTTTAGAATGTTTAGCTTTTAACGCAATGGAAAGAAAGAGTATAATTATTTCTCCTACATTACTAAAAATAGCATTAAAAGAATCTGAATGTTCCTTACAACACCAATCACATTTACTTAATATAGGCGTCTTAAAATCATTAGATTATAAACCAATTGGCACCCGTCTTGAAGCAGATAAAAATCACTACTTTGTTCATCTCAGTTTTCAGGAATATTTTGCAGCACGATACTTAGTAAACGCATTAAGCGGTCCTTGCGTTCAAAAGAAAAAAGCAACTGATTTCTTTAAAACTCATAAATACAATCAACGCTACGAATTTATCTTTAGTTTTGTATCTGGTCTTCTTAACGACTATAGTAACATACAATGCAGAGACCCTTTCTGGACGACGTTATTGGAAGAGCCCTTAGATTTAATTGGTATACGGCATGCGCAGGTTATCATTTGTTGCTTAGAGGACGCTGATTGTGACGCAAGCATTCTAAGATATCGTGAGTCGATAGATTTAATAATCAAATGGATCAATTATTTTGTCTGCACGATGTACGCAACACCA